TCTTTCAACAATTTGTCAAAGCATTTTATTAGAAGAAAAAGTGTAAAAGTCAGTAAAACGTTTTAAAAGATAGTAGGAGACATGGGTAGAATAAACTATGATTAGTCAAGATTTATCTTTTGGAAATATTTGCATTAAATCGTTGTCCATCAGACTCAAGGATTAACTTTGTGAAGCATGCATGTATGAGTCCAGAATTTATTTTCATTTATTTATTATTTATACACCATCTACTTCCAAAAAAGATTTGAAAGCAGCTTTTCCAAAACGACTGTGATGAAGCTATAAAAAATATTATTAAAAATTAACAAAGAGAACCTAGTTCCTTCGGTCCAGAATCCAGCATGATAAGGCCAGTTTCTGATAGACTAGGCAATGCTTTCTCAGGTAAGGTGGTTTGTTTTACCTTAAAGACCTTTTAGCTTACTTGGTCTATGCCCTCTGTTGATAAGCCATCGTCCCCTGTAGCACGTTTCCCAGCACATTTCCAGCTTTAAGTGAACCAAGCACTGTCCTCCTATTTCAAAAGGTCCACCTGACAAGATCCCTCCACCTACAAGACCTCTGCCGACAGCGCCCCCACACCGCTCTATCCCTCCAGCTGACCCCAGGAAAAATGACAGACCCAAACCTCCTAGGCCTCCCACCGGAAGACCTTCCTATCCTGGAGCCAAACCCAACATCTGTGATGGGAACTTTAACACTCTAGCTATTCTTCGCCGTGAGATGTTTGTTTTCAAGGTAGGAGGCTATGCTTTTATTTATTTATTTTTTAATGATAGTTCAAGTGTCTAGTGTCACTTTAGAAAGCAAGTTCTCATTCGTTCTAACACTACCTTCCCAGCTCTTGCACAGTGAGAAGGTTCAAAAAAAGCATCTCAAAAAATAAATGCACGAATGGGCTTAAATGTCTAGCAGAAGATTGCTGTAACATTCTATTTTGGTACTGCATTTATGTCAGCAGAAGCTAAAATGCCTAGAAATGTGAGGGTAAAAAATGCTGCATGTTAGGAAGAGATAAAATAGCATAATTTAAATCATGAATAGGAACTAATAGGGATGATTTGCTTGGGAGCTTAGCCACTTCCAGGCTTACTGCAGCTATTGTCTCTTTGGTTTACACATCTTTATAAGATCCCTGTAATTTCATTTGACACGTAACGCATTGTATTTTAGGAGGAATATTGATCATTTTGTTCGGTATCTCCTGGTAGCCATTTGCTTTAAATCTCCTCTATGAGACTCTCATTTTCACTTTATCTATATAGGTTACTGTTTTTTTTTTTTTTAATCATGTATTTATAACCACTTCATTTATATTATTCTTAAAAAGGTTGCAAGTGAACACTAATTACACCTTTGCCAAATGTGTTTCTTAATACTTTTGGGTTCTTAGACAGTAACAATGATAAACAATGTATCAAAAGTAAACTACATAACATTGAAAGGCAAATAGAGTGTAATATTGAAAAATAATATTTTCCTTCAAGGTTTACAAAGCAATCTTAAAGATTAATGAAGAATGTAAATTCGAATGTTGGAATTAAAGCATTACAATAGCCACGTTTTACCAATATCATTCATTTAAATATAAAATAATATACTCTTACTTTTAGTGGACATGAATCAATCAATAATGAAATATTTTCCTACTTATTCAGAATTTCCTGTCTACCAGAGGCTATACTTTAAAAATATAGATTTTTATAATATGTAGTAGACAAAGTACTCTATTTTCTTTATTGAAAAATAAGATCTGGATTTGATATAGTATGCACGATAGCATTGTGCTCTCCAGGAAAAGAAATCAATGCATTTTTCCAAACACAGGAATAAATTTTTGAATTCTATAAATGCCTCACAATGCTTAATTGGAAGTCACCATTCAATTTCAAGTAGGTTAATAAATTTAGATTTAAAAAGTAATAAAAAAAAGCTCACAAAAATATGTGTATAGTATATGACTTCCATACTCATTGTGGCCTCTAGTCAAGAGCAACTAGTTGAAATGAAAACAAAATGCAATCATTAATTATTCTCCAAGATATTATATGAAAACTGAAGGATTGTATTTTGGGGGAAGACTTTCAACACTGCAGCTTTATTCCTTAATATTGCAGTAACATCACTAGTGTTAACATTATCTGAGTATATGATATGAAATTGACTCAGGTATATTTTTTTTCATTATTCCTGTCAATCTAAATAGATTGCTGGTCTCAGAAGAGACTTGTTTCTTCATATCTAGTGGGTTCACCGGCTTTTTTTGATCTGCACATTGTAGGAACTTAGTTAGTGTTGTTGACTGACAAAATGAGGTTCTGCGATCATTGGTCCCTGGAATCAGGAATGGGTAAAAAAAAAAAAAAAAAAAAAAAAAAAAAAAAGCACAAACCATGCTCTCAATTATGGTGTAATAGCTATTATTTTCCTTATCAAAACACAGGTATGAAAACGTATTACCTGCTTCCCTAAATGTCTAGGTTATCTTTTTGTTTTTTTTTTTTTTGAGAGATTTTCGCTGTAGGGCGTGTGCGCTCGCCAGACAGACAGAGAGAAACATAGAGACAGAAAGCGAGAAATCACTCCCCAGGGGGGATGGTCACGCCACAATCCCTTCTCCTCCATTCTCCTCTCGGGATCTTGGGCATGCACGCACACGAGCCCGGCATGAGTTCTAAGCCACCGGGTCCGGGACTCGAACCGCGGTCAACTACGTGGGAGTCCAGCAACATAGCCATTATGCTAACTGCTGGTCCTGACTTTTTTTTTTTTAAAGGAGTGGTATAGCAAGTTTGTATTTGAGGGTGAAAGAATAGACAGGTTACTGTCTGATGCAAAGTGATAACTGCTACAATTAGAATACATATAACATTGAATGCAAGTGAAGAGAGAGCATGGTTGAGTCTTCTTAGTTAATAGCTATTATAGGTTGGGTAACTAACGTGTTGGTTGTATTCTAGATGGACATCCACAGTCTTTGCACCTCATAACACTGTAAGATAGATCGTGTTCTCTTTTACAAATAAGAATTCTGAGAATCAGAAACATTAAGTAGTTATTCCAGTTAAAAGACTTATAAGCAGACCCAGGTGATAGGATACAGCTAAATAATACTGAAGCAGTATGAGAATGTTCAGGGTTCAGTTTATGAGTCAGCATAAATAACTGCACCCATGATCCTGGTTGGCTAGAATGTTGAAAGGTGGGAGCAGATCTCAACGAGTTAACACCCTGTTGAAATCAGAAAAGATAGTAATAAATTATTTTAAAAACTTAAAAAGAGGGGCCAGCACATGGTGTGGTGGATGAAATCCTAGACTCCCATGTGGCCAACCTCAGTTTGAGTGCTGGACCTGGTGGCTTACTTTCTCACTTTCCTTCTCTATCTCTGGTGAGTGCACATGCCCTATAGCAAATTAAGAAATAATAATAATAAATAAATAAAATAAATCATTATTTCAAAAATAAAAAGAAGATCAATAAATGGCAGTCTTCCTACAAGCCTACTTGACTTCAGAATCCATGTTTTTTCCCACTAAGCATTGATACTTCATTATCTGAAAAAATTAAAAATTTCAAAAGAAAAGTGGACTTTAAGCTAATTTTTGAAATAGTAAGTATTTAAGAAGTATTGATTGAGCTCCTACGATGTTCCAGAACTGTTTTAGGCACTAGTAATATGCCAGTAATAAAACAGGCTGGACTCTTTTTTCCTGAAGCTTACACTCTAATTTTCAGGGTGAGTGGTGGTTGAGAAGAATACACACAGTAGTTCCACTTGTGAATGTTACGGAAAGATGTGAGAATGAGCACACGTGACAGGACCCTGGGATATGTCTGCCTTTATCAATGGCTACTGTTTTTTGTTTTTGCTTTTTTTTTTTTTTTTAGGTTTTTCCATAGGGTGAATGTACTCATCAGAAAGGGTCAGAGAGGGAAACTGAGAAATCACTGACCCGGGGGGTGACTGTGCACAATACCTTCTTTTTTGTCTCCTCTCTTGACTTGGTGTCCATGTCCAGCATGATTTTCAAGCTGCCAAGACCAGGATTTGAACCACATTCAGGCATGTGGGAGTCCAGCTCCTCAACTACCAAGCCACCTACTGGCCCTATGACTACTGGTCTCTTAATGCCTCCTTTGCCTATTTATTTCAGACTTTTTTTTTTTTTTTTTTTTTTTTACCTCTAATGACTATCATTGTCTCACACCTAGTCTTCCTGCCTAAAATTGTTCTCTGACCATCCACCTTTCAAACTCCTGGTTTTTTGTTTGTTTGTTTGTTTGTTTTTTAATTTGCTAGAGGATGTATATATGATCACTAAAGAGAGAGAAAAAGAGAGAGGGAAATTGAGAACGCCTCCCCACACTGTGGATGGTCATGCCACAATCCCTACCCTGTTTCTTCTTTGAGGTTTTAAGGCACACATGCACCTGAACCCAGCGTGTTTCTCAAGGCCCTGTATCTGGTACTTCATCTGTGAAGTGAGCCCATGTGGAATTGGGCCGCCCTAGTCACCATGGTACAGGCTGGCTCCAACCCCCTTTTTAATTTTCCTTCATAGGCATGTAATTATTTTTTTTATTTATTATTGATGATCTCTTCAAATACATTTAGGATTGTCTATTATTAGATCACACTCTTACTAATGTAGCTTGTAAATTTTCTACTTTTCATCATTATAATCTCTCTATACACATTAGAAGCCTCTTCATTTATTCAACCCTTACCAATTCAACAATCATTTTCACCTTAGTTTTAATGTCTGGAGACCTCTTCCCAGGCTTCTGCTCATTCAAACATTTCTTCCTAAGCATCTTCCAGATGTCCCATCCTTTCTGTTTCTTCAACCCAAAATCTTTCTAGCAATTTTGTTTTATTCTCTATATTCAACAAACATGTCATTAATTCTACGTTCCATAATTATTTTTCAGTGCAGTGTCTTCTACAGCTAGATTATGAAGTTCTTCAGAGCAGAAATTGGTCTATGTAGGCTTCACACTGCTCAGTGCTACTGAATAGGGAACTTAATGTGATAATTATATAGTCAAACTATAGCTAGTATCATCTTTATGCAATGGTCATCAATCAGAATGAAATTACTGAAAGCATTTCATTCTGGCAAGATCTTATTTCTTACCCAAATATTTCAATGAGTATGATTTTCTTAAATTGTATATGTATGATTTTTAAGATAAAAAAGAAGAATATCAAGAGATAAAGTATAATATTAGGTAGCTTTGTTTTCCTATCAGAAAGAAATTTTTCATTGTAATGGGAATATCAGAATAATTTTTAGTAGCAAGTTTTCTCTCAGCAGACCTCATGTACACTGAGTTTTCCAGACATTCATTTATTTAAAGTGAGTTCGCCTGGATTTGTGTTTCAATAAACAAATAGCGATACACACACACACACACACTCATGCAAACACCCCTTCTCTCCTTACATAGGAGAAAATTAATGTGTACAGCTTCATAATATTTAGAGAATGAAAACCTTTTAAAGCAAGAACATGAAGATCAAAGTAAAATACCAGGAACAGTGAAACAAAGTAATAGTAACAATAGAGAATTGGTCCTTACTTTAGAGAAGGTGATTTTTAGTCAATTCCCTGAAGAGTATAAGCTGTTGTGATTGAACTGATGATAAGTAAGATCTGATTGTTCAAATGAATACTCTTAAAATGCCTTTAGACTACAAGATAAAACACTGAATGTTTTAGTTATTTTGTGGT